TCCTTGTAATGCTTTCCACACTTGGGAAGTTCTGTATTCTGTTACATGTATTAATTCACAGCCACTTCCACCACTATCTCCTGAATTTCTCCTAATAGTACAGTTCAGAATTGTATTTAGGAACATGTTAGAGAAGAAGGAATACAAGATGGACATACTTTAGCGATTATTAGACAGTGAAATAAAATTCCCTTTCTCTCCACTATAACAAATTCAAAGTTTATTCCCAGCATATTACCAGTTTGGTTATTACCACAAGTTTATTTTACTGCTTTTGAAACGAGATGTAATTAAGCATTTTTATGAACCAGAGCAACCGAGGAAAAGAATCTAGCATTTGTTCTTACCTTTTCCTTTCCTCTTCCTCAGGTACCAGCATCTACTGTGGACTATCTCAAGAAAAATGGGATTGATGTGCTAGTCCTGCAAACAGAGAAGGCTGTGAAGGAGTACAATGCACTGGCTGCTCAAGGTGTCAAAGTGGGAGGCGTCTTCCATTCAACATGCTAATGAATTAAACAATACAGTCCTCTTTCCCCCTTAGCCAAAAAGTCTTGTGCCTTTTGACTGAATAAATTATAGTAGTCAGTATTGGGGCTTTATAGTTCATATTTCCCACTGTACCAAAGCCTGGATGTGAGATGAAGACCTAAAACAGAGAGGAGAAATACAGCAGTATGGAATTTAAATGAATCTAATTACTCACAAATGTTCTTCCACAGTGCTGGATATGGTAGACTATTTAATCATGGTTCCCTACACTTGTGATTTTGACCTAATCCTCTAGATCTGAAGGCGTAATTCATCTTCTGACCATTAATATTTGGCCTAGCTGCTGAAGTAAAATATTCACTTTTAAAACCTGTTAGGAAATGATCTGAGACGTCACTTCTTTTCAGATTTGCAATACCTATTGGATGATCACATTTGGTCACTACCATCATGTGTATGAAATGGTGTATAAAAATGGTGAAAATCTCTGCCTCCCATTGCCAGTCCCTTGAGCTGTCCAAACTCTTAGCAGTGCATGCAGAGTGAAATGATGGTGGATTTGCTTCTTTGGGATGAATACTCTTTTCATAACTTATGATTTGTAAACTTTACATTACATGAAAACAAGTCACTGGAGCTAAAGAAAAGAGAGCCTTAGTAGTGAGAAAGTGAGCCCTCTATAGCAATATGTAGTAGTACACCTCAATAAGGGGGAAAAAAAATCGAACATATGGTATAAGCAGTGGCTTTATAGTTAATGAAAGTGAAAGCTAGTGTGCAGCATATTAGACTGGCCGATCCTTGCTAACTAGCTGGGGAATGGCGGTTGGAATTTTTAGATTAGGTGCTAACGATCAGCTGAACATTAAACACACGTGTAGATTTTTAATAAAAGCTGTAGATTTTAAACCTAATTTAATGGTGCCTGTCTTTTTGACTTTTATCTTGTGCTGGACTTATTGTAGCATATGCCCAATTATAAATTATCTGTAAGTAAGATAGGTTTCGTTCCACAGGGACTGCTAGCTGTTACTTAAATCTGCATCTTGTATGTATTACAGTAGGGCACAGAGGCCATCAGAAGGGTCCTACTGTGGTAAGTGCTGTACAGTCATGTTGAAACAACTCTGCCTGATTCCTGTTATTGGGTTCCTATAAACGTTCCTTTAACGTTTGCTTTTCTCCATTTTGTATTAAATTAAATGTAAATGATTTCATAGAGCAAATAAGAGGAAGAACTAGTGTTTGTAAAACACAAACTTCATCTCTCTTAATTGCAATAATATCCTTCAACACTAGGGCTATGTTGAGGCAGTAGCTCATCTAAAACAGCAGGAGCTTCTTTCTGGGTGTCTTTGCATTCATTGACATGGCAGCCGGTATAATGAGTAGGTGGGTTATTCTCAAATGCTATAATATAATTCTGAATAGTTGGTGTGGTGAGCAATAAAAGAAAGCACTGACCCAGAGGCTTTAGCTCTGACAGAAGTCAATGGAACAAGTTCTTCTCTCCAAAGACACTACACATTATGAAAAACTGTTAATGCAAGGCTGTACTTTAGTGCTTGGACCAGGATATGGCCCCTACCCAAATCCAGCCATCATGATGTGCAATCTCCTGAGCTGCCAAAGCTTCAGAAAGCCTCAAGTAGTAGTTACTTGGCAGAAGCCCCACCACCAAACAATCTGAGCTACTTCTGGTGGTGCCCATAATGTGCACAGAAGTGATGCATATGAGCAACTCAGTTCCTACACTGATTTTCTTTCAATCTTCCCATTCACATAGCAAATGACATTTAAGCCAGTTTCAGGCTGGAGCCATATTTGTAGAACTGAGGCTAGATGAGAGCCAGCCCGGTTTATTTAAGGGGCTAACACATTACTGGCTCCTCAAGCTGCTTCAGTGTGCTCCATTCCCATCATGGTATTTGGGGCAGTTAGCTCCTTTTACTTTTGCCTGATTGACTTTTATCAGATGCCTTCCCTGTACTGTACCTTCATGCTGCAGCCATCTTCAGTTTCTTCTCGGAGTAACTTCCATCCCTTTGAAGCTGGTGGTGAGGAAAGGGGGGTAGATTTCCTATATACAGTTAGACTGCATCCCCTGCCATTATGACCAAATTCCTGTATTAGCATAAGTCATCCAGACTAATAGAGCTTTTCTATCCCTATCTTCAAGGATCCCAGTTGTGATGTGAATCAGCATGGGTGGCTGTTCCCTTCAGCCCCACAAAAAGTAATTCTGTGGAATGCTAGTCACTAATGAGGCCAGAGCTTTCGTAGCCTCATAGGTAAGGTTAAGATTTTGTCAGTTATTTTTAGGAAATGTCACAGACAGGTGGTGGGCAATAAACAAAAATTCACAGGAGCGCTGGCCTGCCAGTAACTTTTACTAAATATAACAGGGGGAAGAGAAGGCTGGGGGTGGGAGTGGGAGGGAGAGAATGACACCTAGATCCCCATTGGAGGGGCTGACAGCCACAGCCCCTCCGCCACAGGGGGGCACAGCCCTGGCTCCAGACCCTGCCGAAGCCACGGGTACACAGCTCCAGCTTGGGACACAGCAGGGGGCACACAGCCCCAGCTGAAGCCATGGGGAGAAGGGGGGCACACAGCTCCAGCCCTGGTTCCAGCCAAAGCCACGGGTGAGGTGGGACACAGCCCTGGCTCGAGCCACTAACACCTGAAGCCAAAGGCACAGGTCTCGTAAAGTCACGGAATCTGTGACTTCCCTGCCATCCCTTACACATAGGCCAGCCAATACCTGGCTGAATTGTCATTGGATCAGGCCCCCTTGAGTTTGTCTATGCTGCAGCTGGCAGTGAGCCTCCCAGCCCCAGTAAACAGACTGGAACTAGCTAGGCTTGAGCTAACGTGCTAACAATAGCCGGGTGGATATTGAGAGGTAGGCTCTGAAACCCTCCAATCCCCTGGATGGCCAACCTGAGCTGCCACCCGAGCCACAATGTCTACAGTGCTATTTTTAGCACATGAGCGTGAGCACAGCTAACACAAGTCTCTCTCTACCCAGCCCGGGAGGATTGCTTGCACCTGCAGTGTAGACAGACATATCCATTGTGTCAACTAACCAGCACACTACGAATGCAAGAACTGCCACAGTGGGTCAGGCCAATGGTTTAGCAGTCCCCCCGGTATCCAGTCTCAGACAGCGGCCAATACCAGAGCTTCAGGGGGAGTGTAGAGAACAGGGCAATTTTGGAGCTTTTGATGAAGCATTAATTAGGCCACGCTTCCTTAAACATCCCACATGGGCAGATTTGATAAATTGCGATTTCTGTCCAAAAAAACAGGCTAGATTTCAAAAGCTAAACACCTCAAATACCATATTACAGGTATGAACTCTCAGGGCAGGGCTCTCAACCACAGACACGGCTTCTCCTCTCCCTCCCACCTCCCCTCTCCACCACAGCTAGCAAGAGAGTCTGCCTCACAGCAGGCTGTGAACACCCACCCCAGAAAATTCTTTAGCACAGAGCTGCTTCTGGGCTCAGTGCCAGCAAGACTCCATCCCAGTTCCTACTGCCACTGAGCAGCTCAGCCTACACATTACTTATCTTTGTGAGGCAAGGTGCAGAATCAAGAAGCAGGGAGAGGCGGGACAAGTCACACACACACACACACACACACGTGCGCGCGCACCATATCAGGACCAGTGCTGCATAACCCCTTCTCTGCACCACTGTACCCTGTGAAGGCTCCTCTTAACCAAGAGAAAAAGGAGAGTTTTAACACTAGAATATCTCAGGGCTAGCCAAGCACCTAGGGTTTAATCTCTCCCTACTTTCGAGTTTATTTTCAGGCAAAATGAAATAGAAGATTTGTTAGCTGCCAGCCTCATAGAGCCCCCAGATCCATCTGCCACAAACACAGGAGCGAGTATTTTCTTCAGTATTGACTTGAATTCATCATGGTTTGAGAGCCAGACTTGGGAAGCAGTTACACCAGGACATCCTGGCTCTGGAAAAATACATGGTTGCCAGGATAGTTTTAAGGGTTGCTCAAGATGTTTTAAGGGCTTCTAAAATATTCCTCTCTGTGGGGTCTTTGGGGAAGAAACCACCCCTCCCCAACAGATTGGTGCGTCTTACAAGGAATGCCATTGCTGCGTCAAACCTGGGAAGGATCAGAAGGGACTACCAGGAACCCTGTAGAATCTCACAGCTTGTCAGTTCATCTTTTTCCCTTTGTCAGCTGCTTCACACTCCTCCATAGTGACCTCTATGAAGGGGAATAGCCTGTTTTAGTTTTCAAGAGGAGGTTATCTGCCCTTGGCTTTAGGCCACGCAGCCTCTCTCTGGATGGCTCTCCATGGTGGCCACTACATTCGTCTACACTGCTTCAAACATCCAGGAAAACCTTCTCCTGCTTGTCTGGCTCAGTGTTACTGTGATCTGAAACCAAGTGCCCCTTCTTCAAGGAAGGAGCTAGAGCTCACTGAAGATGAGGATCAGAGCTGCACGCATGTGCATGGCCTTTTTGGTTCTCTTTTCCCTCTTATGGGAAGGCTGCTCATCCCCAGAAGAGATCCATCCCTTTTCTTAGCTTGCACCAGGGTGGAGGTCCCCAAGCTGAAAGGTCCACAAATAAGGTCGGAGAGCTGAAGGACTGAAAGCACGTCTGCCATGACGCCAGAAGTGGTATGGCCAAGTCCCAATGCTTCATGGAAAAGTCTGAACTGTCTCCAGCATATCCCAGGATGAGAGCCTACATGCCTCAGAGCTGAGGAGAAAAAGGATTCAGAAAAAATTTACCCTGAATAGTATCAAATACAAAAAAGACGGAGTCAATATCCTAAAAGAAATAGTTTGATATGTTAAGTAAGTTAGCAGGAGTTATAAGAACCCCCATAAAATGAAAGACATAATAGGAGGACCTGGACAGATCAGAAATCTGTGCAGAAAAGTGTAAGATAACATCTGGGTGAAAATAATCCTCAGGACAGGCTAACTAGGAGGGAAAAGACTAGAAAAGCAACAGCACCCAAAAGAAAACAAGGTCTGATAGCAAACTATAAAATAAGTGTGCAGTGCAAACAATAAGGCAGTAAGAGAGCCAAAGTAAAAGTCACAGTTTGGAGCCACAGCAATTGACTTCAAGATTTGTAAAGAGTGAACTATGTATAACCATCAGTAGCTGAGCCAAACAATGACAAAGGGGATTAGTCGTCATCTGTTTGAATGGTAGAAGACACCCAAGAGAGAGAATTCCTTAGGATTTTGCAATGAGGTGGAACTAGGAGTAATGAAATGAAAGAAAAATAGAAGATGAGCATCAGGAAGACTTTAAGGACTAAGTGGATGTGGAATCTCACAAGGACAGTGGAAGCCCCATTGCTTGAATCATTTAGAACCAGAGAACATACAGTGAGAAGCAAGGGAACAAATTATTGGGTCTTCATTCTCCCTCTGAAGTTTTATGATTCTCCTTATCTGTAGTTTTGCCAATGTCTTTCAGGGCCAGATTTTCAAAGATATTTAGGTGCTTAAAGATGCATATTAGATGCGTTTTGTATTTCCCACTAGGCACCTATCTGCATTCCTAGGTGCTTAAATACCTTTGAAAATCTGGCCCTTGTTCCTTACCAAGATGGGGAAAGGACACTTTGGTCTCATATTTTACATGCCATGTAGCTGACTGTTAACACTAGCCCAACGTAAGAATAAGGGATTCTCCATCATGTCATTATCTTCCTTGAGTTAAACAGAACATTTTCATTACAATGCTTAGCGATAAGGAAAGGATATCCAGCTCTCCATTTACAATAGGACATTTCCAGAAAGGAGAATCTGATTAATCAATGGTCCTAAACCAGTTGGCTATCCATAGCTCAGAGCTTCTTAGCCCCAGAACAGCAAAAGTAACTTTTTTCCCCCTTTCCAAATACAGTGCTCATGCGCGGCATCTCACTAACAACAATGGAACATGATGGTTTATATGAAAAACGGGCAGCAGCTGTCAAAGCTTCCTTCTACTGCCCAACAACAGGCTTCACCCTGACATGGCAG